GAGCTAACTCCTGCCAGCCGTTTCCCCCCGGAACCACCGCACACGTGTGGGGCAGGTATCGGGGCTCCCACTCTGCTTCGCTGCCTCACACGTCTCCCACAGCTTAGGACACCCCAGATGACACCAAACTTCCCTGTTTTCCGTACTCAACTGTGCCACGTCACCTCTCACAAAAACAGGCATCCAAAATGTTTTACACTTCTACTATGGAGAAGTGCAAAGCGGGAGAAAAACACTCGGCTGACCAGCAGGAAAAGGAGTCACTAGAGGAGGAAGAGGGTGTAAAGCACCCGGCTCACGAACCACACAGAAATAATTCCCTCTCTTCCTGACCACCTCGGCCGAGTCTCTTACACCGGACACCTCAGTCACTCTGGCTGCACGTAGAAAATTCACTACTCCACTCCCAAACGTGCAAGACAAGAGGTCATCCTGTGCAGAGGCAGCAGGTTCTGTGCTGCACAAGCGGGGCTGCCTGCCGAGAACATCCCCGGGCATCTGCTGGCCACGAAAAATGAAAATATATAACTCAGTACGTGGCCCTTCCAGCACGAGAACGCTTGACGTGACACAGAGGGCTCTGCCGGAAACAAGGGCCCCCTTGTGTCTCCAAAATCCTGGTGGCGAGGGAAAGCTGGTGACAAACCTTAAACTGTAGGACAATGGGATAGGAGGGAAGGGGCCAAGTACCCCCAGCCCCTCGCTGAGCACCATGCAGAGGGTGAACCAGCAGGCACAGGCGGAGGGCAGGGAGGACAGAGAGCAGAGCCTGACGTGTCCACGACTGCCTGGCAGTTTTCTGCGCCTAGTCTGGAGCTCATGGCTGGAAAGCACGTACATCTAGAAGGTATTTCTGCCGTTCCAGTACTGCTCTCTCCTTATCTTATTTAATGTTGTTTTGTAGGAACTCCTGTCGTGTGTTCCTTGAGCGAGGAAAAGAATTATGGCACCACCAGGAACACAAATACTTGGTGCTGCCCGCAGACAGACACAGGGAATGCACCAGCCGAAGGGGCAGAAAAGGCTGAGGGGGTGAGAGGAGCTGGCTAAGGCAGTGGGGAGGTTTTTTTAGCGTGGAAGCAACGGAATTAGGATGGTTTAAGGCACTGCCAGGATGGGGCAACTGGCAGCACATGCGCTTCTGCTCTGTCCAGCACCACCTGCAGCAGTGGTTTAAAAAGAAGATATATATTCCTCTGCGTTGCAGAAGCATGTGCAGCGTCAGCGCTGTCTCTTCCCAGAAAGAAGGCTGTAAGCTCCTCCAGCTGAACCGTTTGGGATCTCCTACCTGTGCGCCCCAGCCCTGAGGAGAGCGCCTGTTCCAGGCTGACATACCCACGTGGCCGCTCTCAACTAGCGCACGCTGGGTCAAGCGTTCAGATAACAAGCGCGGTTTAGGTACATTTTTGGAAAAAAAAAATGGCTACAGGCTTCCAGCTCCCTTCATGCCTGCACGTGGGCGAGCGGAGGTGGGAGCTGAGCCCTGGCCTTCTCCTCCTGGGGCTCTCCCGGCTCTGCGTGCACGCTCAGGCAGCAGGTCCTGCTCACCTGGGCTCGTGCGGGTGTGGACACTCACTCTGCCATCCCCTGCTCCATGTTCAGGTCAATTCCCCCGTCGGCAAGGCTGCCATCGTCTGCGAAAGACGGCTTTGCCATGGAGTTCATGGACCGGTAGCTGGTGCCGTAGACCACGGAGCTGAAGACGAAGGCTAGCTGCAAGAAGGAAACGGCT